AAGAGAGAGAGAGAGAGAGAGAGAGAGAGAGAGAGAGAGCAGGAGAGAGGGAGGGAGGGAGAGAAAAATGCCCAGCTGTCAGCTTCGTTCGACAGCTTCGTCCTAACCACCCTCAAATCTAACAAGCGTTACCGTCTTCCGGTTGGAAACGTCAGGTCCGCACCGATGGGCATGGGGCGTAATTCTAGACGGAGATCCACTAATCGGGAATCTCCGCTGGGGTAGTAGCAACAAACTGAGACAGCGAGAGCTATTTATCCAGTGTAGAGGAGGGAGTAGCTATCTGGATAAAGTTGGATAGAACCTTGTTCTTCTTGTTCTTTTTGTTCTTGTTCTTCTTGTTCTTGTTCTTGTTCTTGTTCTTCTTCTTGTTCTTGTTCTTCTTCTTGTTCTTCTTCTTCTTCTTCTTCTTCTTCTTCTTCCTCTTCTTCTTACTCTTCTTCTTCTTCTTCTTCTTCTTCTTCTTCTTCTTCTTCTTCTTCTTCATGGTAGATTAGATGGTGAGGGCAGAAGTGTTGATGAACTCCACAGTGATTCCAAGATCGAGAGGGCTGCCATACAGCCTCTGGTGCATGTCCCTGGTTTGAGGCCAGTAGTTTTGTCTTGCCGTATCCTGTAGCGGGCAGTCCTACGTAGAGAATATGCTGTGCATCTTGGCGGCTGGCACCACAAGGACAGTTGGGCCCATCACTGATCTTGAATCGGGAGAACATGTGATGCTTCGGCCTGTTGTGTCCTGTTCTAGGTTTAAAATAGGACCATCTCATAAAGAAATCAGTTTCTCAGGGAGGGCAAAGATTTCACAGATAAAAGAAGTTACTAGTAACGATTGGAGTTTTCGGAAGGTTGAAATATACAAATTAGTCTTACTGAAATGAGACCGAGGAATAAAACAGTAGCCAGAAACAGTATAGTTTGAAGTTATGGAAAGACTGAAATACGGGCGTGCATTTACGAACACCATGAGCCCCATTTCATCAATTGGTCGAGTTTGGGAATTATAATTTTTTTAAAGACATGATTGAAACAAAAAGAATAATGATAGATAGGTAAAACTTGAACATGAGACGGTGATGTCACAATGAACCCAAATATAAAACCCCTCTTAGCAGCCTCAATTTTATAAACATAAATAAAGTACGTGCTTTCAGAAAGGTAATCGAGTTTTTTGTGCTTTGTTTTGTGTTATTGTTTTTTTTAAAAATGACACTTGAGTTTTTAATTATTAAATCATTTGATTAAGCATGTTGACTATCTAATAGAAATGTTATTTACACAAACCGTGTTTTGTTTTAAAATTCAATGTTTCATTTTTTTCTCCTGGCAGGTGTAGCTGAAAGGGAAGACATATACTCTCGACACAACCCTCCAAAACGCCGGTGAAGCAGTGAGAATATTCCAGAACACCTGAAGGTACCACCACAACACCCCTAGACGCATCCCAACAGCGATCCTGTCGTTTGTGCGACCTTCTCTCACTCTCTACCTCTCCTCACTAAGGAAATCTCTGTCCTTCTCTCCCTCCGCCAACCGCCACCATTGAAGCCTCCGGCGTATACTACCTTCGGCCCAGCCCACAGTCCAGTAGCCCCACCATGGCCGTGACAACGCCCACCATGCTGTCCATCACTGGCCAGAAGGACACCCAGTTCACCAAGATCTTCGTCGGAGGTCTGCCCTACCACACGACGGACCAGAGCCTACGGGAGTATTTCGACAAGTTCGGGGATATCGAGGAGGCGGTCGTCATCACAGACAGACAGACCGGCAAAAGCAGGGGATACGGATTTGTAAGTGGAATCTTTTTTTTTTTTTTTTTTCTCCTATTATTGGTCTGCTCTTTACTTACTTACTCTCTCCCCATACCGTCAGGTACATAAGACGGAGAGCAGTCAACGCCACGCTTGTATGTTCCTTGGGTTACGCTTTGTCTGTCTGTCTGTCTGTCTGTCTGTCTGTCTGTCTGTCTGTCTGTCTGTCTGT